AGTGTCTACTCTCTTGGTGTGTGTTTTCTATCAGTCTTTTTTCTCCATGCATGATATTTACTCGGTTGAATTCTGTTTTGGCAAACATTCCTTGAGCCATGCTCTGTGCCGTGGGGGTGCACAGAGGTGAGAAGGCTCCGCAGCTGCTGGGAAGGAGCTCGGATTGCGGGGCTGGTGCCTCCGGCCCCTCCACCTACTCAGTGTGTGACCTTGGGACCGTCGTTTTCTCTTTCTGTTGCTTGGTTTCCTTGCGTATGAAGTGAGGAAAATGGCAGGGGGCACTTTGGAGGGCGATTGTGTTTTTTTTTTTTTTTTTTTTTAAAGAATAAAAGAAGGATAACATAATAATAGGGGGGACTTAGCAAATTACAGACAAAATGGTAGTAAATTATCAATGGTTATCATTTTACATATTATTGTCTACAAAATAGTTTCTCAGGAAAACAAATAGACAAATAATAGTGAGTTAGAGACAAAAGAGGTAGGAGATTATCAAGAGTTGTTGTACTATACTTTGGTATCTTCAAAGTGGCTTCTAAAGAAAATAAATAGAGCTATACATGAGTGACCTATTGAAAAATCATTAACTATTCTCAATGGTTGTTGTAGGAAACACATAATAATAAACATACATCCATTTATGAAATAGGATAGGAACATTACAAACTTTACACAGTTATGGATAGATTAGTAGGAAAATATCAATGGCTGCTGTAATACGTGGTGGTATCTTCAGAGTGGTTTCTCAGGAAGACAGAGATATGCAAGAGGGACCTATTAAGTAGTTACAGCCTAAGGGTTGTCAAAAATAGCATATTACCTCCCTCCTCACCAGTGACTCCTTTCACTGAGGTATGATGGCTGGAAGGAAGGCCAGGATTGAAAAGAAGGACCGAGAGACTTGCACCTGTGTCTAGCAACAGGCTGTTTTCTTGTTCCTCCATAGTCATGATTACCCAGGGCTCCTCGATGGAGATGACGGTCTGGCTAGAGGGAGAAGGCAGACCATGCCCCAAGCCCTCTCATTCCTGTTGGACTAACTGGTAGCATGGGTCTGAGCTCTGGGGCCTCCACCTCAGAGGGCAGACCGATCTCCAGTGGTCTCCTTTGCATCCAGGGCATGGCCCATGGGGCCTCTTAGGGCAGTTCCTCTTGAGGTGGCCTGGCTTTTAACAGTGGTAGCAGATGAATGCAGTTGTCGAGTTCTTCTTGGAGCCCCGGGAATCAGACCTGGGATCTGTTTCTCTTAGTGGTGCAGCAAAAGCAGCTGCTTTTTCTCAGTCTCTTTGTTTTCTCTCCTTGGCCTCCTCCTCATCATGGCTATAGAGTACTGAGGAGGCAATTCTTACTAACATCTCAAGTGAGCTATCTGGGGTGAAAGCCATTCTTTGTAGCTTTTTCTCTCCAGCTTCCCATTGCTTTGGGACCCCACAACCAGTTAGTGTCCTCTCCCCAACTGTCAGCACAGTCAGCAGGAATCCTGCTGCAGACTTCTCTGGAGCTCCACCACAGCCTGTACTGTCAGGGGAAGAATGGCTTCCAATAAGTCTCTGCAAGTATTGTGCAAGGTCCTCCTGGTTTACAGCTTCTGAGCGGCTCTGGGGACCCCAGTCCACAGGACCTCTGACTCCGTGGGCTTGGTCTGCATTCTCATGTTCTCTGAGTCCTTGTTCAGCAGCTGCTCCTCCGCTGACTCTGGACCTTTCTGGTTCCCAATGGCAGGAGCAAGAGTGGCCCTTTGTATGGCATGTATTCCCAGGGGTTGTTCAAAGTTTCAATGATTCACACACATCCGTGGGTGGGCAACTGCTGTCGGTGCATGGCGGGCCAATTGTGTCACTGTTTCTCTGTGTCATGATAGATCTCAATTGAGCGGCAGTGGCGGCGGCCAGCCTAAGGGCCGGCGCGCAATAGCGCTTGCCGCCGCATGGTGGAGGGCGATTGTGTTGTGTGGATGATCCGAACACCTGCAAAGCTCTGAGGACCGTGCTGGGGCACAGGAGGGGCCGGGCTGGGGTGGTGACTGTTGCGAAGCCTGTGGTCTGGCAGCAGGGCAGGGGGGCAGGTAGTTTGTGTTTGGTTTGGTTTTATTTGTTGGTGCTGCAGAGGGGACTTAGGGTCTCACGTGGACCTGAGAACTGTCAGGGGCTCTCCAGGCAGACAAGCTGAGGAAGGTCCCCGTGTCAGGTGGCCGTGTGGCTGTGAGCAAGCATGGTGTTAGTTGGTGTGGCTTTCCGGACAGCTGTAGTCTGGAACTGATAGCTGTGAAGTCGGAGCTGGGCTGGCAGGACGGATGAGGCCGCGTGGACAGCCTGGGCTGTCCTTGCTGCTCGCAGAGGTGGCCAGGTGTGGTGCGGATCCTTGAGCTTTTCCTGTGTAGTCACATTTGTCACCGTCGCAGCTTCTCAGGACCACACAGTGTCCCTGGGTAAAGGTGTCATAGAGCATCCGCCCTCCCACAGGTTAGCAGTGTGCGGCACATGCTGCCATGTCTCCATGTCAGAGGACTTTCAGGGCCAGGTCCCACCCTTTGGGTCCCTTTCTTGGCCACTAGCTTTTCTGGTCTCAGAGCCCCAAGTGTGGGAGAAAGGAGGAAGCAGACACATTCTCATTTAATCCTTGCTATGCTCCTTTCTCCTCCTTTAAGAAAAGGAAAACCGAGGCTCACAGTGTCCTCATACCATATCTTACTAGTGATCCTGAAAGGAAGGACATCTCAGAGCTTTTTTAGGATGTTTTCAGGGCTCTAAGCCTCAGTTTCCTTATCTGTAAAAGGGGGTGATCAAAGCAAAGCCAGCATTTGCTATCTGCTATGATTAGGCACCCAGTCCTCAGATCACAGATGAGGAAAGAGACACAGAGAGGTTAAAGAATTTGCCCCCGGTCACACAGGGGTAAGCGATGAGGCTGGGGTTTGAACCTCGGCTCCCTCCAGACCTGTGCTGAACTCTCAGCACATAGGCCTCATATGGTTTTGTGGGTTAAATGAAGTTTAGCTCAGGGCTTACCACATAGTGGATGGTTGTCCTCGTTACCTTCCCATTACTGAGACACAGTACCTGACCTCTGTACCTTAAAGGAGGAGAAGTTAGTTTTGGCTTACGGTTTCAGTGCATGGTCAGCCCACGCCAGGCCAAGCATTATGGTGGAGGAGCACTGGGGAGGGGAGATGCTCAGCCTATGGCAGCCGGGAGGAGCCAGAGACACGAATACCCACTCCCCCAGGCCACACCCCTGGTAACCCAGCTCCTGACAGCACACAGCCATGAACTCAGCCCCTGCAGATCGTCTGATGGGTAGAGCAGCACACAGTCCCATCACCTTCCACATACGTGAGCGTTTTGGGGACATTTTAGATCTAAACCATAACGGCAGTCAGTAAATGTCTCCTGGTGAAATTGCAGTGGCCTCCCCTTCCCCCTGTGGGTGCCTGGACCCTTGGCGAGTACTTACCACTATATCTTCTGCGCTTCAGGGCTGCAGTATGTCCGAATCAGCGGCACTGCTGCCCTCGTGTTTTGAGACCATTGTTAACTCACTCAGACACCAGCACTGCAGCCCCGTGACACACGACCCTGCCACTAAGTGACAGGCAGGCCGGCTTCTGAGCGACTAACGGGCGGGTAGCGTATGCAGTAGACAGCGTGACAGAGGAAAGGATTCACCCCCTGGTGGGACACGGGTGGTGCGAGCTTTCATCATACTATCAGGAGTACAGTTTTTATCTTATAAGTCATTTATTTCTGGAAGTTTCCATGTCATATTTTCAGACTGTGGCCTCTGAAACCATACAAAGTAGCACCTTGGCTGAGGGGCTGCTGTGGTGTGATTGAACTCCCCCCGCTACTGTTAGGTGATGCGAGGCCTCTTGGTTTTTGTGTCCCTTCTGTCCCCATGGCTCCTCATTGCCTGGGCGGGGGCAGGACGAGGCTGTGAACTGCGTCCTCTCCAATGCCGCCGTCTCCCAGGGCACCCACACTGCCGGCCACACTCTGTCCTCACTGTCTGACCTCCGCTTTCTGCAGGTGACATTGTGGCACAGAAGAGGGATTATTTAAAAAAAAAAAAAAAAAGAAGAAGAAGAAGCAGGGATCATTGCCAGGATTTGATGACAGTACCTTAGGAAGGCAGAGTGCCTATTTGCCTACCTGCCTGCCTCCTTCCTTCCTTCCTTTCTCTTTCTTTTTTTGAGACAGGGTCTCACTATGCAGTTCAGGCTGTCCTTGAACTCACTTTGTAGCCCAGACTGGCCTCAAACTCACAACAGTCCTCCTGCCTCAGCCTCCCAAGTGCTGAGGATTACAGGCTTGTACCACCATGCCTGGCTGGCAGTGTGTTTTCTGGAAACCCAGGAAATAACAAGATACTTAATTCTGTCACCTGCAGAAATGCTGACTGAGTGAGGCATGGTGGTACACACCTGTAATCCCAGCACTTGGGAGGCTGAGGCAGGAGGATTGTTGAGAGTTCGATGCCAGCCTGAACTGCATAGTGAGACCCTGTCTCAAAAAAAAAAAAAAAAAAAAAAAAAAAAAAAATTGCTGACCAACTCACTAAGTGCCCCGCACCCATGCAGTTCTGTGTATCTGAGTCCTCACGCCTGTCTGCATACCAAGGAGTGGCTTCTCTGAGGCTTCTTGGAAACCAGTGATAGCAGGGTGAGAGGGGCGGGGCAGACACTTGCTGGCCTTCCTACTGATGGACTGTGATAGGTTCTGATCCCTTTTTGGTGCCTAGTAAAGAGGGGATCCTGATTTGCTTGTGGATCTGAAATGACGCGTGCCCAGCTCTTTGGTTGCCCAGTGTTGTCTCTGGGGCTTTGGTGGCGAGGTCCCCCCCATCTTCCCAAGGCCCTGTGTGGTACCACCTGCCATTGTCGGGGAAACTGAGTCTCTGCCGGATGCTGGGCAGTGAAGGACATCTTTCCCTGGGCCCCAATCTGGCCGAGAGCTCTGGAGCTTCCCAGAGACCTCTCATGCTGTCTGTCTCCTCCTTTCCAGGTCCCTGCAGGGCCAGGATCCAGGACGGCACTGGTGAGTGGCCGGGTGCCCATGAGGGACATGGCTGCGTGTGGTAAGATAGGAATGGGAGACCCAGCCCGGCTGACAGGAGACCCCATTTTCTTACAGACCGCGGGTTCGGGTGGTGGGGCCGCTCGGCCTGCCGCAGAGGATGCAGTTCTTCGGCCGCCTGGTCAGCACTCTCAGCGGCGTCACTACTTTGTTCTCAAACCCGTTCCGGGTGAAGGAGGTGGCCCTGAGCGACTATGCCTCAAGTGGCCGGGTGCGGGAAGAAGGGCAGCTGATCCTGTTCCTGAACGCCTCCACTCGCACCTGGGACTGCATCTTGGTCAACCCCAGGAACTCCCAGAGTGGCTTCCGGTGGGTGATGTCAGCCGTGTCTCTCCTTTGACTCCCCGTGCTGGAGCTGGGGTGGCAGGGAAGCAGCTCTTGGGCGTGTGTTTGAGGCCTGGGGCTGGGAGGAGGGCCTTGGGGAGGGCTGCGGGTATTCCCTCTGGAGACAGAGGAAGGAAGGTGGGAGACCAGGAGAGCCCAGGCAGGCGAAGCCTGCTGTGGTGGCCTTAGCCCCGGGTCTGGGGAGGCTTGAGTGTCCTCCTGGGGCCGGCCAGGGTTTGTTGAGGACCTGTAAGAGCTAGTCAGGCCCTGACCCCAGAACTTGCAGGGCAGGGAAGGGAGCCAGGACAGGACCAAGGGCACTGCCAGCCCCAAGGCCAGTTGGGAGAAGGAACGGCCAAGGCCCAGGCTGCAGTGTGGGGTCTGGTGGGGTTCGGCAGACGAGCGTTGAAGGGGGTGCATGTTGATGTCCCTTTTGCGTCGTGCTCCCCCATCTGACCGTCCCATCGTTCATCCATGCAGACTGCGCCAAGCACCTGCGCTGCAGTGTCTCTGGTGTCGCAGGCCAGGGACCAAGCCCAGCCTGGAGGTGACAGACACGGCCTGCCTCTGCAAGGAACATGCAGACTGGCAAGGAAAGCCGCCTGCTTACGGGCTTTTTAACCCCCTCTGAGGAGCCCAGGAGCAGGGACACAGGAAGCTGTCGCTTCCCGGTGGGCTGGCCAGAGCCATGGGAGCCACTCTGGAAGAATGACAAGGGGTGTCTGGCAGGACAACACGGCAGGTTGTTCTAGTCCTGTGGAGGTGCGGGGCATGGGGTGCACAAGAGAACAGCTGTGGTCATTCTGATCGAGGACATGTGACAGCAGGAGTCTTAGGAGGTGGCGCTCTCAGGATCAGGGGCCAGCCCCCAGAAGAACAAGGCAGGTGGCCTGGCCTGCAGGTCAGGTGAGAGCTCAAAGCTGCCTCCACAAGGAGACTGAGGCGCAGGCTCCCGATGCAGGCGCTTGGGCTGAGTGCAACACAGCGGCCATCGAAGACACCAGCTTTAGCACAACAGGGCTGGGCCAGATGCTGAGCGGTGGGGTGTACAGCTGCAGGCTGCTGGGAAGGCACAGCTGGCTAGGGCAAGACACTCTGCCCTACCATTTCATGGAGGGTGCTCAGCGCTGCTTTTTTTGTATGAGTGTGGAGTGAATGAATGTGATGTTTCCATTCAGTGCTCTCCCAGAGCAGTGGACGACTGTGATCCCGGACGGTACAGGGTGGGCTGGGAAGCCAGAAATGGAGGTGGAAGGTAGAGACAGGGCTGCACGAGGTCAGTCGGTCGTGGAGAGCTGCAGAAACGGCAGTGCCGAGGCTGGGAAGTGACTGGGCAGTGGGGGGTGTGGGTGGCCATAGCCACAGAGCAGGGGCCAGGCACGCACTGGGGCCCTAGGGTTCTCATCCAGGGGTGGTCAGTGCTTTTTCTGTTGCTCTAACAAAGCACCCAAAGCTGAGTACTTCCAAAGAAAGGAGATTTGTTTCGCTCACTGTTAGACAGACTTTTCAGAGGCCAGAAGTCTAAGATTGGGCAGCCCCGTTCATTGGCCCCTGGTGAGGGCCCCTTTGGGGGTGTCTGAAATGGTAGTGGCATCATGGTAGAAATGCATGGGGATCACAGGGAGAAACAGAAAGCCAGGGAGCAGGGAGAGATGCCTCTTGTTCTTTTTGTTCTATAGTTTGGTTTGTTGAGAAAGACTATATAGTCCAGGCTGGACTTGAACTCAGTACGTAACATAGGGTGGCCTCAAATTGCAGTAATCCTCCTGCCTCAGCCTCCCAAGTGCTAGGATTTCAGGTGTGCACCACCTGCTCATTGATCTTTTTATTGCAACTTCTTTCGGGGAGAGTAACTGCAAGACCAGCATGGATCCCTTCCACAGGCACCACCCCCACTGGCTCATCGCCTCCCACTCTTCAGGCTTGTACCAGCTTTTTTTTTCTTTCCGGTACTGGGAATTGAACTCACGACCTTGCACTTGCCAGGTAGGCACTGTGCCGCTGAGCTAAATCCCCAGTCCCTGTACCAGCTCTTAATACCGCTGCACTGGGGACCCCACATGAGCACTGCGGGAACAAACCATGGAGACCAGGTGGCCATTGCAGCAGCCCCAACGCCTCTGAATACCTTGTGGTTTGTGAGCAGTGCCAGGTCTGCGAGGCCTCCTCTTCCCGGGATCGGTTTACCTTCTAGATGTCCCTGGCTCCTTGAGGGGTAGAGTGAGGGCCTGCTCAGTCCTTGGGCTTTGTTACCTAAAGCCTGAAGTCCTGTATTGCCCCTTCTGGCTGGAGAGCTTTGAGCCCCTCATGTAGATATGGGTGGCCACATTGGCACCATCCATGGTATATATTTTATTGGTGCCTGGTGCATGCCAGGAACTGTAACACACATTGACACACTCTGCCCTCTGCAGCCCTGGGAGGAGGGTGTCACTGATCGACCTCTCTTACAGATGAGGGGATGCTGCAGGCTGAAGTGGCTCACCCATGGTCACACAGCTGGTCAGTAGCACAGTCACCCAAACCCCAGCATCCTGGCTCTAGAAACACCCTCTTTCCTTACTCCAAGGCCTGCTTGCAGGCTGACAAGCTGGGCAGGGCACTGATCCCTGCCTGCCATATGCCATTGGCCCTGGCTCCTCTTGTTTGAGCTCCCGGAGAGTGCTTGTCTTTCTGTGTACCTTAGGATAGCATTGATACCGCTGTTCCTGGCACGAATTAATCATTTACTGCTGACATTTACTGCCACACATGATGTTTGATGGACCCAGCAGCCCCTCACTGGTATCTTGGCAGACTCACGGTGGTACATAGCAGAAAGGGTGATCCAACCATGTGGGATGCATGCCCTTCGTGTCCCTGAGGGGGGCGGACTTGGGACTCTGTGGCCAGGACTGTGCCATTGAACTGGTTGTTAAGAAACCTCAGAGGACCTATGTCCGGCCACGTCCCCGGGGACCACTCCTTCAGTCACCCACCCCTAGCCCTCAACGTCGAGCAGAGTGACAAGCAGCAGGTGTCCTGACAGCCAGTAAAGATGGGTCCCAGCATCCAGAGACGAGCGTTGTCACAGGACCTTGTAAAACTCTGCTGTCACCACCTCTGTGTACACATCGCCTCCGCACAAGGGCCCAGCGCCCTGTCCCTCCGGTGTTCCCAATGCCCACGTGGTGCTGGGCACACAGTAGGTGCGCTGTGCACACTTGCTGGCTAGGTGGTGAGTCCACGGTCACCGAAGGGAAAGTATGAGGGTCCGGAGGACGTGAGCAGGGGAAGGTGGAGAGGAAGGAGGGCTCCGCAGGGGAGGGCCCGGCCCAGCAAGGCACAGAGGGACAGGGAGGGCGGTGAGCTGCGGGCCTGTCGGGGAGCACTGTGTAGAGCAGGAGACACCCCTCAGCCTGGTGGGCCATTTTTGATCCAGGACCCCCTTGAGAGTCCCAAGGGACTTGTCCTCTGCCAAATGCCCTCCACACTTCTGCCTGCAGGTTCAAGGGCTTTGAGAGCACGCCGAGCTCAGCCACAGGCCTCCTGTCCTGCTCCGCCCCGCCCCGCCCCGCCGGCTGGAGGCTGCTGGGCAGCTCTGGCCCAGGCTGTGTCCTGGAAGAAGAGAAGACACCCCGTGTTCACGCTCGGGTGCCTGGCCACCTTGGGCTCCGTCACTCTCTGTGATCTGTCTGCGCCCAGGACTCTTCCCTCTGTAGCTCTAGCCTTTCTCCCCTGGGGCTGGAGGGGGCACAGGAGCCCCTTCCCCTCAGCCCTGACCCTCACTTCTCTGGTATGCCACTGCTCTTGCCCACGACCCGTGGTTTAGGCCCCAGCCTGTGGAATTCTGACCCGCAGCAAAGCATTTTCATTATTATGCACATGTGCTCCTTTTTCTTAAAAACAAAAACCAAAACCCCCTCCTGATGCCACTTTCTCCCCAGGCACTGCCAGTGTTCAGCTGCCTGTATTCCTCTTCTGTTCTGTCTCTCTAAACTTGTCAGATAATGAACTCTCACACCCATACACATACAGCTCGGATTTATCAGACACCCCTGTCACCGGCCTTGTCAAGAAATAGAACAGCCCAGCCACCTCCCCCCGCCGCCAGCGCGCTTCTGGCCCCTCTGTCCTGATGAGGGTGACTGGAAGCCTTGCGTGTTGCTAGCTGTGCTGTCGCCTCTGCTCAGCCCTTGGCGGTGAGAGTGTGTGCTGCGGTTTGTAGCTGCGTGAGTCAGTCGGCACAGGAGGAGCCCGCTGTAGGACCGCGGTCACACTGCAGCCCGGCCTGACTGTGTACACAGCAGTGGTCCTGTACAGTTTTACTGCCCAGTGACCTCATCTCCGTCCCTGCTTCTGTCAGTACGCCGAGGTTTGCACAGTGACACATTTCTCAGAACATGGCCCCGGCGCTCGGCAGCACAGGAGTGTATTGTATCACGGTTTTATTTATTCGCAGTGCTGCTGATGGAAGTTTAGATTATTTCTTGCTGTCTCTTGGTGCACGTAGTATGCATGCGTCCCTGCCCCACAATGACCTCACCGGCTTTAGTACATAAAGGACAGTTTACCTACAGTGAATAAGGTTCTGCTACTTTGTATCCTCTCACACTGGGTGTTTTCCTCTTTAAAATGTTTAGTTGTTGTCTTGGGCACCAGTAATATGTTGTTTTAGTTTTAGTTTGCACTTGCCTCGTTAACAACAAACTTAAGAGCTTTTCTTTTCTTTTTTTTTTTGGGGGGGGGTCCGGGAATCGAACTCATGACCTCAGGCTTGCCAGGCAAGCACTTGTGCTGCTGAAGAGCTTTTCTTTTTAAAAGACCCTTTTGCTAACCATTTCAGTATCTTCTTCGATGTGTGTGTGTGTGTGTGTGTGTTTGTGTGTGTGTGTGTGTGTGTGTTCCAGGTATACACCCTCTGTTGTTACACCTTACGCACAGCGTTTGCCTTTTTATTCTCTTAACGGTGTCTATTGATAAACCGGTGTTCTTGGTTTTAATGAAGTCGGATTAATTCCCCTTCTTCTTCATGATGTGTTTTTGTGTCCTGTGTAAGAAAGACCTCTTTCTAAATGCTTTCAGCAATAGCCCCTTTGTTCTGCTGTTTTCTGGAAACCAATATGGGTACTACTTCTTTCTTTCATAAATATAAGACTCCGTGGGCGAGCCCATTGGAAGCCGGAGTGTTGATGAGGGTTTTAAGGTATTCTTTTTTTTTTTTTCAATCAAGAATTGAACTCAGGACCTCACGCTTGCCAGGTAAGTGCTGTGCCGCTGAGCTATATCCCTGGCCCAAAGGTTTTAGAAGATGGACGCAGGGTCTGACAGGTGCCGTTTGTCAGGTTTTCTTTCTTCTCATCAGTTTTAGTGTTTTCAAGTAGTTTGTCCATTTCATCTAAGTTTTCAAATTGTGTAATTGTTCATAGACCCCGTTTAATTTGTGAGGGACCTAAAGGCATGGAACTTGGGGTTTTCTGTGTGTCTTGTTTGATTTTGCCGGAGGTTTGCCAATTTCTAAAACCTTCAAAAAAAAAGACTTCTGGCTTTTTTCCCCCAGTACTGGGGATTGAACCTAGGACCTTCACACTGAGCTCCGTCCCCGACCCTTTTTGTTTTTTCTTTTGAGACAGGGTTTCACTAAGTCACTCATTTGCTCAAGCTGACCTCAAACTTTCAATCCTCTGCCTCAGCCTCCCTGAGTGCTAGGATTACAGGTGTGTGCTACTGCACCTGGTTTTTTTTTAGTTGTTGGTCTTTTTATTTTACTGATTTCTGTTTTTGCTTTTAACTTATGTTCTTTTTTACTATGTTTACTGTTCTTTTTCTGTCTTTTGGAGGTGAAAGTTTAAGTCATTGTTTTTTATTTTTAGTCATTAACTCTACCTTTAAGCACTGCTTTAGTTGCATCCTGAAAATGTTGCTGTGCTTTTTGTTTGTTTTGTAGACAAGGTCTCACTGTATAGTGCAGTCTGGCCTTGAACTCACTATGTAACCCAGGCTGGCCTTAAACTCATGATCCTCCTGCCTCAGCCTCCCAGGTACTGAGATTACAGGCATACACCACCATATCTGGTTCCATTATGCTGTATTTTTGTCATTCAACTAAAAGTATTTTCTAGTTGGTTATGGTAGTTCATGCCTATAATCCCAGCATCTTGAGAGACTCAGGCAGAAAGATTGCAAGTTTGAGTCCAACCTGGGCAACTTTGCATTTTTTTGTGTTTCATTTTAGTTAGCTTTATTGAGATGTAATTTATAAAAAATAAAATTAGCCCATTTTAGGTGAACCGTTCCTGGGTTTGATAAAGGTGTCACCATGTAACCACTGCCACAGTGAAGATACAGTCTGTCCCTGTTGTCTCTCAGATTTCCTCTGTGCTCCATCAAAGTAAATCCCATATCCACCCTGGCAGACACTGAGCTGTTTTCTGTCACTGCAGTTTTACCTTTAATCATAGAGCATGAGGTTTATGAGTCTCGCTCTTGTACTTAGTATAGTGCTTTTACAATTTATGATTGTTTTCTGTGTTTTCACTTCTTATTAGCTTGGGATTATCTACTCTGCTGTAAAAGATAGATTATCTATCTTTTATAGTTGGTTCTTGTTGTTCTGTTTTTTGGTAGTTCTGGGGATTGAACCCAGAGCCTTTTGGCATATTAGGCAAGCACTCTACCATTGAGCTACAGCCTTAGTCTTTTTTTTAAAAACCAGATTCTTGGGGCAGGGAATATAGCTCAGTGGCAGAAGTGCTTGTCTGGCAAGCCTGAGGTCATGAGTTTGATTGCTGGTACAAAAAACAAAAACAAAAACAGATTCTTGTTACTTTGACCAGGCAGGCATTCAACTTGAGATCTTCCTGCTTCAGCTTTCCAAGTATCTGGGATTATAGGCATGTGCTACCACATCTGGCTACATCCTGCTTTTTTATGTATTGCAAAACAGATATTGCCCTGTTCTTGTAATCTTTTCAGTCATGCAGTCTTACATCCATCACTGACATGACACTTTACTGCTGACATTTAGGTAAAACAATACTCACTTAATTCTGATCATGTACAAGGCCAGAGATACGAGGTTAGGGCTCTCAGGTGTGATAGTTAAATTGGAAAGAGGATAGGGTAGGGCTTTGGTTGAAGAAAATATAAAAGTATCACATGATGGAGGAAAAAAGAAAGGAAGGAAGAAAAGGAGAGAGAAGAAATGAGGAAGGAAGGGGCACGAGGGAGGGAAAAGGAGAACCTTTCAAGTGTGAAGGAGCCAGCTGATCTGCAGGTGGTGACCTGTGCGAGGCAGGGCTGGCTTGGGACAGGCTGCACCCTGGGGCCAGGAGGGCCCTGTTGGGGCTGCAAGGCTTCAGACTTCTCGGGGGTGAGGCTCTGGGCCCTGGCTCATCGCTTAGCTGCATCTGTCCCGGATGCAGACTCTTCCAGCTGGAGTCAGAGGCCGAGGCCCTGGTGAACTTCGAGCGGTTCTCCTCTCAGCTGCCGCCCTTCTATGAGAGCTCCACGCAGGTCCTGCACACCGAGGTCCTGCAGCACCTCACCGACCTCATCCGCAGCCACCCCAGCTGGTCCGTGGCGCACCTGGCCGTGGAGCTGGGCATCCGCGAGTGCTTCCATCACAGCCGGGTTATCAGGTGGGTGAGCTGGGAGCTGGACACGGGTACTTCAGGGTGTGGATGGGGTGTGGGGGTATGGGGAGTCATCCAGTTCAGCCTCAGTTCCCTTTCTCCCTGCTTTCCTTCCTTCCTTCCTTCCTTCCTTCCTTCCTTCCTTCCTTCCTTCCTTCCTTCCTTCCTTCTTTCCCTTTCTCCCTTCCTCCTTCCCTTCTTCCCTCCCTCCCTCCCTCTGTCCCTCACTTCCTTCCCTCTTCTTTCATTCTTTCTTCTAGTACTAGGGATTGAACCAAGGCCTTCACACGGAGCTACATCCCCAGTCCTTTTTAACTTTTTTTTTTAAATTTTGAGATAGGATCTCACTGAGTTGCTGAATTGCCCAAGCTAGGCTCAACTTCGCACTCCTCCTGCCCCAGCCTCCCAGAGCGCTGGGGTTATAGACACCACCATGCCCTGCCCAGCTCCATGGTTTGAACAAAAAGGAGCCCCGCAGCCCCTAGATTAGAACATGAGACTGTTGACTAAAGTCAGAGTTGGAGCCGGGCATGGTGGCGCATGCCTGTAATCCCAGCACTTGGAGGCTGGGGCAGAACGATCGCTTCTAGTTCAAGCCCAGCCTGGGCTACATAGTGAGTCCAGCCCAGCCTGACCTACACAGTGAGACCCTGCCTCCAAAAAGTAAAAAATAAAAAAACCAAGTCAGGAGAGCCATAGCATTTTCTGGTACTTGCAGGGGCCTAGCCATGGGAGCTGCTTCCCACCCACCATGAATTTGGACCCCCAGCCCCCAAGAAGTGTCATCCTGGAAAGAGGCTGTGGGACGTGTGCTGGGTCACTCAGCTGCAGAGGGCTGAGCAGCCCCGATCTGGTGTCTGCTTTCAAAGATGGGCCCAAAGCTCACAACCTCGCCGCACTTTGCAGTTTACAGGCAGTATCCTGGACCCAAAGGTGACAGTTCTGTCCCTTCCTAATACAGGTGCAGCAGGTACGGTAGATAAGGTCTTGAAGCTGCAGAGGTTAAGTGCATTGCCCAAGGTCCGGGAGATTCTTGCATTCTGTGACCCTTTCCTGTGTCACTCCCCCACCTACTTCATGCTGGTGGCCCTGGGCATGCGCCTCCTACAGGTGGGCAAAGTAGAGTAAACCTGAAACAGATCACATCAGATACGTGAGTGGAGACTCAGCCCTGACGTCGAGCCAGCCGGGACTTGGAGCGCGGCCTGAGTGCTTTTGAGAATGTCCCAGTTTCCTAGCCTTTTTTTGTACTTGGGTCCTCGGCACCCCTGTCACCTGGCCCCTGCTTGATCGCCGCCCTGCCCCCCGCAGCTGCGCCAACAGCACAGAGAATGAGGAGGGCTGCACCCCCCTGCACCTGGCCTGCCGCAAGGGCAACGAGGAGATCCTAGTGGAGCTGGTACGGCACTGCCACGCCCAGATGGATGTCACCGACAGCAGGGGAGAGACCGCCTTCCACTATGCCGTGCAGGGTGACAGTGCCCAGGTGCTGCAGGTGAGCTGCGAGGGGCAGGGTGACAGGGCCTGGCCGCACTTCCTTGTGCACAGCACTCTCCCTGCGCCGCTGGGCTCAGATGTCCCTTCGGGCCTCCCTCTGTCCCACGTCTTGCCTCGTGAGACCTGGGCTCTTCTGTGGAGGCTGCACAGCTCTCCCCAACTTTTCCTGCCCGGCACTTGTCTCAAACCAAACCCAATGGAACACCCCCTGGCCCCTGTGGGCATTTGAGCTGGGGCTCATCCTCCTGTTCATTTGTTCACCAGATTATTATTATTTTTTTTAATCATGGGCAGATAAGTGGAATAATATTATTAAAGAACTATTGCATGTGTTAGGGTGAAAGGAAATGCAGAATACTGGCTGAGGTTTTATTGTCTAGGATGAGCAGGTCCTTCGGAAGCTTGTGTCCTCTTTGTCAGGATGTCAGGGTTATTCTAGGAACTAAGGATCCCTGTTTATGCTGGGTGCCCCCAGGAAAGGGTGTTCCCCAGCCACCAGGGCAGGCTGGGCCCCAGACTCTACCAGAGTCGAGTCGGGTCATGCTCCTTAGCTGCTGGCTCTCCTGGGCCCAGCACCTCTGAGTGCTTGGCCCTGCACGGAGTGTGGGGAGTGATCTGTGACCTAGCTAACCCAGAATGGCCCCTGGGCTGGGCACATTGCCCTCCACTCCTCACCAGGGGGACCGAGGTTAAGCCAAGGTCAGAAATGTGCCCACTGAGGGCCACAAAGCTGTGGACGAGGCTGGCCCTGGCTTTCGGTTAGGCGACAGCCCCTTGCCCTCCTGTTGTGTCCCCGGCTCACCTGCAGGTGGAGGCCCTACTGCCACAGGTGCCCAGTGGTTGCGGTTAGCCTCAGCTCTCCTCACAGTTCTGGTATAGGTGGGTTCCACACCCACAGGTTCAGGCAACAGAGGACAGAAAATACTTGAATACACCCTGTACGGAACACGTACAGACATGGTGCATTCACAGAGCATTCACAGAGCATCTGTGCTGTCGCCTGGACTCTCAGGGCGATGTGAAGTACACAGGAGTGGGTGAGGCTGCAGCTGCTGTCCCAGCCCCTCAGGAGGTTGAGGCAGGAGGGCCTTGAATTGGAGGCCAGCCTGGGCAACTCATTGAGTCACTGTCTCATAGAGAGAGAGGGAGAAAGAAAGACGGTGAAAGAGGGAAGAAAGAGGACGAATGAATGGGCAAACTGGAGGGTCATACGAGGGACTTGAGCACCCATGGATATTGGTATCTGTGGGGGTGAGAGGTGCCCTGGAGCCTGTCTGCAGATACCAAGGGACAACTGTGTTCTTTTGTTTTTGTTTTGTTGAGGGGCTTGCTGTGTAGTTCAGGCTGGCCTGTGTTCACTGTGGAGCCCAGGCTGGCCTCAAACTCATGGTGATTCTCCTGCCTCAGCCTCCAGAGTGCTGGGATTACAGGTGTGCACCACCACACTTGCTTTAAATTTCTTGACTGAGAAATTTTCATAGGAGCCGCTGTCATGCCAGAACAGCACCGTCCCTGTCCGCACTGGTGCCCTCAGTTCTTCCTTTCCTCCACAGCCTCCTCTCTCTGTCACTCTGAGTGCTCACCAATGTCACCGTGGCGTCAAGCCTCCCTTCTCCTTTGGTCCCCAGAGGGGGTGGCCTGGTGGGTCAGGGAGGGGCACACGGGTTCTTTGTGGAGCTCCAGCCCACCCACATCCCACTGTCAGCTCCTAGGGAAGAATGCGTCTTCCGGGCTGAACCAGGCGAACCACCAGGGGTTGACCCCGCTGCACCTGGCCTGCCAGCTGGGGAAGGAGGAGATGGTGCGTGCGCTGCTGCTGTGCAATGCGCGCTGCAACGTGGTGGCGCCCAGTGGCTACCCCATCCACACGGCCATGAAGTTCTCCCAGAAGGGGTAAGGCCGCCCGCCTGGCTCACAGGCGCAGCCCCCAGGTCCTTTGCCTGCCGTGTAATCACATGGTGTATTTTTATGGAGTGGCAGGAGTTCTTCATAAAGCTTGTGTATTAGCCCTTTCTCTGACAGGATTTGCAGATTGTCTGCAGTGATGATGTTGCCTCTTCACCTTTTTTGTTGTTTCCTTTGGTGTACAGCAGCTTTTTAATTTAATGTAGTTCCATTTACCTATTTTGGCCTTTGTTTTGCAGTGCTGGGGATTGAACCCAGGGCTTTCACACTAAGCGCGATCCCCACCCTTTTTTATTTTTTTATTTTGAGACAGGGTCTCACAGAGTCAGTAACTTGCCAAGGCTGGGCTCAAACTTTTGATCTTCCTACCTCAGCCTCCCAGAATGCTGGGACTGTAGACATGCACCTCCTCACCTGGCCACTGGTTGGTTTTGTTGCGGCTTTATTTGCAGGTGATATTTGCGGGACCTACACTCGGTAGGTCCATGTGCCAGGCTCCTACGGCCTGGCTTGGGAGGTGCTGCGGAGTCAGCGAGGTAGTGAAAGAGAAAATCCTGATGATGCTGATGTGCCTCACAGGTAGAAGAGGGCTTTATTTGCAGCTTCACCTACCCTTGCTCGGTAGGTAAAGTCCTGAGTCCTGGCCTCTCCTCACTGCCTACGGCTTCCCTCCCTGCCCAGGTGTGCTGAGATGATCGTCGGCGTGGACAGCAACCAGATCCACAGCAAAGACCCTCGCTACGGAGCCAGCCCCCTGCACTGGGCCAAGAACGCAGAGGTAGGTGGAGTCTGAGGAGAAGTAAGCTCTGCATCCTCGGTGCCTGTGGGCGGGGATCCTCGAAGACTCTCATGATGGCACTTAGGAGCTGGCTGGGGGGCATCCTGCCTCGGTCCCTTGTGCCTCAGTTCCCTTCGTCCATGCGCCAGGCTCCTACGGCCTGGCTTGGGAGGTGCTGCGGAGTCAGCGAGGTAGTGAAAGACAAAATCCTGGTGATGCTGATGTGCCTCACAGGTAGAAGGGGGCTTGATGATGGCCGTGGCGATGATGGGTCTGGCTGTCCCCACATAGCCACCTGGCGGGGCCTCCCCTCTGAGCTGTGTCCTAAGCGTGGCTCCGCCCTCCTGGGGGATGGGGGCCCATGGGTGATTATCACCAGGAAGCACAGCTCATTGGTGCACTAGGTCCTGGAGGCCAGGAGGGAGGAGGTGCCTGCCCCTGAGGGAAGGTCCAGGGCATGGGGCACTTCAGGGACAGGGCCCAGGCTGCCTTTGCCAGAAGGGTTGGGCACTGTTCACTCTAGGAAGCACCAGAAGCCTCTAGAATCAGCACGTCTTTGGTTTTTTGTCCCCCAGTGCCTGGGGTGCTGATGAAGGAACCAGGGCCCTGGGCATCCCCAGATCTGGGGTCTGCACCCAGATGCCCATTGCTGGAGCTTTCCAGAGGCTGGCACTGAAGGCCACTCAGGGAGGAAGTGGCCATGCCCAGGTGCTGCGGGCCAGGTGCCAACTGCTCCCGGTGCCGACTGCTCCTGGAGGACTGGCCCTGACCCGGCCCCGCCTATGCCCTCAGATGGCCTGCATGCTGCTGAAGCGGGGCTGCGATGTGGATGGCACCAGCGCCTCGGGGAACACGGCCCTGCACGTGGCAGTGATGCGCAATCGCTTTGACTGCGTCATGGCGCTGCTGACCTACGGGGCCAACGCGGGCGTGCGCGACGAGCACGGCAACACCCCGCTGCACCTGGCCATGTCGGTGAGCCGCCCCTACCCGCCTTCCTGGCCCCGGTGTGGCACACAGGCGGCCTGCGGTGTGTGGTCACTGTGGCCCTGGGCGTGACAGCGCCTGCCAGTCTCCATGTCCTTGTCCTGAGGATGAATAGCAGGCACGTGCACTGCCTGGCAGGGAGTGGATGGCCCCACAGATGTCAGGGCTGCTTCCCCTCAACCCAGGGAAGAACGCTGCCCTGCGACGGCTCTCGGCTCCCTGGGACATCGCAAGCCCCTGGACAGCAGAGCCACTCACCGAGCAGGGTGGCCGTGGCAAGCCAGGGGGCACTTGCCAGCTTTCTCGAGTGTGGCTGCTGCCCTTCAAGCCCCGACTGTCTGCTTAGGCAACTACAGTGCAAAGAGATTACTCCTGGGAGAGGCTGGCGTTGCTGGCGGGCACAAGTGTATGCCGGCTTGCTTTCCACGGTGACACCGCGCAGACGTACATCAGTGCAGCAAGTCCGGGTCAGAGGCCGGGGAGACCCCTGGGGCCCTAAAAGAAGTCAGAGTTAGGACAAAGGGAGAGACATCCTGTTCTGTAGCAAAGGTCGCAACTGCTGCAGAGACATTGTTGCCCCACTAGGCTGGAACTATAAATAGGCCTTGGACGATTTTAGCGCTGAAAGAGCCCTTGAAGGCTCTGGTTCAGTAGTTCCTGAACTTTCTGGCCCATCCGGTCTCTTTCTACTCTTCATACTGAGGGTCCCAGAGACATTTTGTTCAGAGGGATTTCATCTAGCTAGATTTACCATTGCAGAAGTTTGAGATATTTCCAAAATACTTATTAATTCACTTAAAATAACTGTAGTAAACCAAGCACGTGGCAAGCAGCAGTGATGTTTTTATGAAAAAAGAACTTTATTTTAAAAAGCAAAAAAAGAAGTGATGAGTGAGAGGAGTTGGCATCATTTTACATTTCTGTGAATCTTTTTAATGCTTACTTCACAGAAAACACGATTCTGTCTCCTGCTGCACTTCCTCAGCTGCAATATGTTGTTTAGTTGAAAACTGTGAAGAAAAGCTGGCCTCGTGTGGCTGTGTAGTGGGAAATGATACGTAGTTAGACCTTGATAGACCATGGGGAATAGTCCTTTGATATTACACCAAAAGTTGACACTGGCGGGTTTTTTGGCTTTTTTTTTT